TAAACGTTTTTGTTTGAGTTAAGTTTAAAGTTTACTTTTGTTTGAACAGAAGCTGAAGCATTTGTAAGACGGGAGGGCTAGAACAGCTCTACAGGACCGTGTGGTGGGTTGTCTGCTCAGCAAGGCAGAACGGTTTGGCGCTCTGTAGACTGAGGCACCCCATTTGGCTAATGAAGTCCCAGACTGTCTTCACACCACACCCCCACCCTGATCCACTATGAAATGTTCTACTCATGAAAGTAATGAGGAGGGGAGGGAGAAAGACTCTTCTGGCCACTGATAACCTCAGACTAAACTTGCAACCTTACGAGACAAGGGCCTAATATCTGGCCGTCAATCAGCCCCAGCATCCCTGGCTGGAGTGTTTAATTACAAGGATCAATTATTTACCAGCCTCCTCTTTCACTACTCAGTGCTCCCAAAAAGGAGTGTAAAGAAAAAAAAAGAAGATAAAGACACGACACAGACCCAGAAGAGGTTGTGGTGGCAAATTTGGTACAGAGAAAAATTCAAAAATATATATTTCAGATAATACAGATTTTTGTTGAGGTGTTTGCACCATAAACAGCTAATAAGTCTGTCTGGACTGTTACCCTTTTTCGACTACAGACAGCTTAAATGTCTATTCAGATCAAACACAATGCCATTCTCAAGCATGTGTGACCTATATATTTAAAATCTAAATGTAAATAATACAGATATAAAACCAATCGTAGTTACAATTCAAAAATAAACACAGACATTTCAATAATATTAACTGTTTTATGTATAAAATGCATATGTTAATTCACAACGCCAACACAGCTAAAACCAGGAATTGAGGTCTGACAAGACACTGACTGACAAACTGTTTAAAATTATTTTGTAGAAAATAAAACTTAATACAACTTAATTTGTAAAGTGCCATTCTCACATTTATACAGTACTACAAAATAAAGTACACAAAGACAACAGCTTATGGGTTACTGAACTACTATAACTCCATGCACTTCATATTTACTTCTAAAGCCATTCTTTGACTTCAGCTGCACGGCCCCAACAGCAACTGCAAGGCTTTTAACTAATTTGAAGAGACAAGATCCTATTACCTATTTGCTTGTACTTACAACAGCACTTCACCTGGCTGTTGCTGGGAATATAAGTTTGAATACACAAAGTATTAGAAGATTAACATGTTGCTGCCCATGAACTGACTATCAGAAATAGAGTAAATTTATAGATATAAATTGTATGTTAAGTTTCTAAATAGTCTTGCACAAAAGTGCACGGTGCTCTGTGTACTGTACACCCACCTCAGCTGGCCCAAAGTTCAGCTGTAAGACTTCAAACTAATTTAAAGAGACAAGATCACATTAACCCTTTATATTCCCCTCTTTATAAGCTGGTACACTCAGTACCCAAAGTACTCATGTTTGATGCATTTTTACTTGAACATCCATAATCTATGCATTCCACACACAAAAAAACACATTTAAAGGTAGGGTAGGTAAGTTTGAGAAACCGGCTCGAGATACACTTTTTGTTATATTCCATGGAATGCTCTTAACATCCCGATAGCAATGAATATCTTAAGTGCTTTGAAAAAAAATCCATAAAAAAACGCCATACGTGGAAGCCGTAGTACTGTAAAAAGCACGACCAATTATCTTAGCCAGGCTAAAATAACTGGATGGCCTACCTGCCTGTCAGCCTTCCATCTGTGCACAAACTTATCTCGTGCCGTCATTGGTCATGTGCGCGTTTCTGTGTGTGTTGGAGGAGGGGCTCTGTAAGGAAGTGGCACATTTTTTCCGGCTGTGTATTTTCGAATTCTAGCGCACTCGAGCTGGTTTCTCCAAAATTACCCACCCCACCTTTAAATGTACAAATGTGGACTGCTTTTCATTTCACACATCTGCACATTAGATTTGTTTTTGTTCCATCTTGCATCTAACAAAGAAAATAGGCAACATTGAGGAGAAGCAGCTGGTGGAGTGTTGTGTGGTCATCTATCCAGGGAACAGAGTGCCTCTTCATGAGTCCGAATTACAGCCAGCCAAATAACCCAAATAACAGGGGAAGTGAAAAATGCAGCACTAAACTCAGTCTGCTGTGGTTCACGGCCTTAACAAGCTACAACACCTGTGATTTGTGGTTTGCCTGTTTTGCTGTATTTCTGTGCTAGATTCCTATTGTCATCACAAGTCCCTGGTTTATGCTATTTAAGGTTTGCAAGCTCCACATCAGCGACTACCTGCTTAGTTTCTACATAAACTGGCATTAATGTTTCTGTTACTTTCAGGATTACCTCAGACTCCAAAATTAGAGTACTTTGGTAGAATAGATATAAATACATAGTGAACCAGAATTATATGTTATAGATCATTTCATCCTTAACATTTAACAATGGGTTAGAAGGAAACCTATATGTTATTAGGATTAATGTAACATTTCAGCCAAATAATTATATGAATGCTGAATAGTTCAACGGGAGTCATGAACAATTAAACTGTGTCATTCATTCAACATTAAGACTAACATATCTTCAAGCCTATGTCTGTAAGAAATAATACATCTCCTACCAAAGTATAATCAAAATAAACAGTCAAACCAATAGTTTTTATTTGCTTTATCAGGCTGTTAATGTGTTGATTGTTGAAAGCCTCTGATATTGATCCAAAAAAGTAGATTTAACACTTTGGCCTCATTAATTCCACAAGGGGGAGTGTGCTGAGATGAAATGTAAGAGTAGGCGGCTGGTTTCTCCTTCTACAGCAGCAGCAGGGTTTTTCCCCTGGACTCTCAGCTGATGGCTCATTAATCTGTTCTAGAGGAGGTCCCCTACGCAAGCAGCCTGCGCCAGTGGAGGACTCCTCTTGCTTTATTTAAAAATATATATATTTTAATAAAGGTTTTTTAAACATTATAATAAAGAAAAGCTAAACCTGAAATACATGTTGATATATATTAGTGTTGCCCCACAGCAGCAGCAATGTTTAAAGCCTCTCTTTAAACTCTATCATTATAAAATGGCTCACTGTAGTTCAAATGGGTTACAGGTTCTACCAGTTTCATAGAGCATCCGGCAGACAGAGATGTCATCAGGATACATCTTAAAGTTACATGAATATCTGTATTCATTTCCTTGGCAATCAACCAAAATGTTTTTGAGATATTTCAATCTGGATATAAGTGAAGGAGCAAGTGTCTGACATTATCATCCCCTGGGCCATGTAATCAAGATGTTATCCTTTTCCAGTTTACATTTCATACAGAAATATATCAAAATAATAAAGAAAGCTGTTTTATAGCCATTGCATGGGACATATAAATCCGTCAGCGGTGACCTATGTATTTATGTGAATGTTTGCTTCCAGTAAAGACATATGGAACACTATCATTACAGATCCAATAAGCACAATGGTTATTGGCAAATTAGCTACCTTACACATTGTGCATCCTTTGTGGGAGGCAGCAGGGCATTGAAAGGCTCCATTTACACAATTTGGTTAAACTACAGTATTTGCTCTGACACTCATCGTCACTCAAGTACTCCATTCCTACATACTCTGCTTCAGCTGACAAGAGCGATTACAGTTTGGTGATTATTTTACAATAGCTATAGAGATTATAACTCACCCTAGCCTCTGTGATTTTAGCGGGCATTTGTCTGATATCAGATTTTCCTCCTCACAGCAATTGATCTGCTAACGACACCATCACTCAGCCACCACACATTTTACTGCTTAAAGACAGCTCTGACAGGGAGTCAAAATTCTGAATTTTGATTGCCTGACTGAGGCTGCCAGAGCATGTGGCTGTCTCTGCCGAGTTAGAACCAGGGAAACAGCATATTACATATGTGTCATCATTTTAATAAATAAATTAACAGACATCTGCAGTGAAGCAAAATTTAAAACATGACTTGTGGATGTAACCATCCAACATTTCTACAGAGCGTCACATTTAGTGAGGTGCACAGCATGTACTGTACAAAAAAACAAAATCTATCAAACTGTTTTTAATAGCATCTGATTGGCAAGCTGTCTTGGGACAGTTGGCAAATGGGCGGGCAGCGGAGGAGTTTAGAGGTGCTAAAGTTCAGGCAGGAGCGACGCAGCACCCTGTGTCCTGCCAACAGCCTACAGTGGCGCAAATCCTGACTAAGTTGTGACCCATGGCCCCCACCTGTCTTGACCATGCATTATATAGGGAGGCATCACTTCCCCTCCTATGCTGCCTACCACGCCAGAAGGCTTTTGACTCATGCCCATCTGTCCTGGTAGTACATAGGTGAGAGCCAAGCTGTCAGCACCCTGTCCAATGCATGTGTGCCTTTATGACAACAGGTTGTTATATAGATTGTGAACAGAATGTAATTATCTTGGTAATCAGAATTATTATCAAGAAATGAGTTGTTTTATAATTGTTATTTTCATATTACAATGAGATACTACTGGGGTGTGAAGGTGCACACATTTGGAAACCTATATCATTACACTCTGATTTCTTTATCCAATTAAGAAATAAAAGAATGCATTTACTAAATTAACCAGACTCTAGTTGGTAATGGTGTTGTATGAAAATATATGGACAAGTGTCCTGACAGACATAAGAGGGACATACTCTAAGAAACACCTCACAGTAAGAGTTTGCATGCTATGCCATTACCACAGCAACCGAGTCAGACCAGAAAGCAATGCCTGAAAATACAAATACGACCTAATTACCTACTAATATCAGTGAGGGAAGTCTGTCCTCGAGATTCAGATATCAGATTTTCACAAAGGCTAAACATGTCCTATGTTTGAATGGGGGAATAAAACATTGGGCAAATATATTTTATAGGCAATAACGGTAAGAAAGAAGTAGAAATAACATCATTGCTTTTGTGTGAATATTTTTTACAAAGCACTCATTTAGTCTGAATGAATATTTGACTTGTTAGAAAGAACATCTTAACAAACAGTAATTTACTCTCTTTCAAAAAGCTGGCTCAAATAACAAGGAAGCAAACGTACCTGACCTGGCTGGATGTCTAAGTAATGAAGCACCTCTTTAAGCATGACAGGCGTGTGAGGAGGCTTTTCGGATGAAACGGAAGACAGTTCTTCAGATCTGTCCAGGGGACCAGTACCAGAAGATGCATTAACTGTAGAAGAGTGCAGGCTTAACTTCCATGACCTCCATGCTCTCCACACAGCCAGATTTGTTTTCCGTAACATTGGATTGGAGCGAACAGACAGGTGGAAAATCATGATCCTTATAATGATCTGTGGAGATAACAAGAGTGAAGTTATGAGATGATTTAAGCAGAAACATTGTGTCTACCAGTAAAACCATAGCATGTAAGCCAATTAGGAGAAGGGTTTTTAAAACTGTTTAATAGTAAAGTATTTTTAAAAAGTGAAATAAAGATTGCATTTGTGATAGTTATGGACTTCAAGTGACTAGGTTTACATAGTTACTAAGCAATTATTTGGAATATTTATCAAAATATCAGGCCTACATCATGCTGTGCAAACTGACAGATATCTTGTGCTGCAGGCTAACAGAGTAGCTTTGATATTTGCATACGTGATGGGAATTTTTAACTGACATTAGCAGCTGGTCTCCAACCTGGGGTGTCAAACCAAAACAAGAGGGCATCACAGTTTAAACATTTCATGCCGGTACCGATCATTCTGAAGGTTAAACTCTTCCACAGCACACAATTGTGGCTCAATACAACCGCAATAAGAGTGAGTACATCTTTGGCTAATTAGTTCAACATTTTGGAATTCCACATGAGCAATACTGCCTACAGTGAGCCAAATGGTTAAAAGGTATTCAGGTGTTTCCTGGCAACAAGATGCATTGGAAATGAGAGCTAAGCTAGTGATGCATGCCTCCAATGAGGTAGACATATCTGCATGGATTGAAGGAATTTAACAAGTTTGTGCATAGCATTGGTAAATGTAAAGAAATGTTTTAAATACAGCAAACAATTACAGTATTTGAAGAGATGGCAATAACATATTGAGTGACAATGCTTGATTGCATTCAGATTGTGAACTAGACCTGCTGTACCAAACAGGAATTATTATTACATTTGTATATGTGCATCTAGACCTAAATCAAATATATTAAATCTTTCAGTTTCAGGTAACCTATCCTTTACCAGAAGACCAGAGAACATATTGAATGGACAATTTTTTTTTATCAGTGCCCTTACATCTGACATAATAGCACCTTTGATCAAGCTAAGGTTATTAATTATCACATGTACAACAATACGGGGGAAGCAGTTGTTGACATTTCTATCCCATAATGCTTAATAAATGTTTGTTTTATGAAAGGAAATCACACAAGGAATTAAAAATGAAAATCTAAGAGATAAAAGTATGCAAGTAAAACATTAGGGTTACAACATAATAACCCATAATAATATAATATAAAGTTATATACATTTGAGGTATAATATACAAGATGGCTACTTGAGATGGATAAATGCCCAAATTCACGCACTGGTAGTTGTTAGCTCCCAACAGCGTGATTTCCTTGGAACTAACACGTGTAATCGGAATTATTGTTGCTATTTTTTGTAACACACATAAACAGTTCTGTTGTGAAGCAGGTAAGCCCCATATTTTGGAAAAAAACACATGACTCAACATGGAGAAAATGTAACAAAGTAGTCATGCACACACTGACCTTCACAACAGAGTTAAATCATGTATGCGTTTGGCGTGACATTGGTCAATGCAAATGTAATAAGTAGTGAAATACAACGTTTAAAATCATGCATTGCTGCTTTATCACATGTGTGTAGTAGCTGTAACGTCATTAGATCAGCATTAGCTAAGCATTTTACCCTTGACGATGGAGCAATATCGTTGCTATGCTACCATGTTGACGCATTTAGCCACACGCACTTTCGCACGAATTTACAAATAGGGACACAACATGACATGGATCATCCACATGTAAAAAATGTTCAACTAAGGTGAACTGTGACGAAGAAACATGTCTACACCTCTGGAAGTGAACAGTAGCTTACCGTAGTAGACCAGAGAGTAGCTCCGCCTCCATAAGCAGCATGTCCGGTGCGTCATCCAATGCCCAGCGTCTCACATCCAATCAGCGTTTAGAGAGGAAGATGGCTTGTTTTTGAAAATATTGGCGCTTGCGCTAGCTATGACCGGAGATGTTGCTATGTCTAAGCTTTCCTAGCAAGTTAATCTTTCCCAAAACGAAATACGTGTGTCTTCTCTGAAAACCTAACTGTAGTCAAATGCAATTAAAGATAACCGTTGCTGACAAAAGGTAAGACATAACTGCACTCGACATAAAGAACAACAATTCTAACTGACCGTTGGAAGTTGTGTAGGAGCTAGCTCAGTTAGCTAGCAGGCTTTATCCGACCCCCTGCACACTTATCGTTGGCAGGTTGGCTTTTAATCGTTCACTATTGTGATGTGTGAATTCAAATACGTATGTTAACATTGTAAACAGCACTCAACTAACAGTAACATCTCTATCTCGTATGTTGTATTTCAATGTGAATTGAGAGTAGTTACTGGTTACTGCTTGGTTAAAAGCATAACGTTAGTATTACGTTAACCAACAAGTCATATAGACATTGTAGATGTGTGTGTTACATTGTTAACTATAGATAGATCGATAGATAGATAGATCGATAGATAGATACTTTATTCATCCCAAATTGGGAAATGTTGTTACAGCAGCATTGTTGTTGTTCAGGCATTTAAATATAAAACAATAAAAAACAGCAATTATATACATATCTACAGTAGACAAGACATATGTCCAAAAGGGAAATGTTTTCCTGTATTACTCCTGATAAAATGGTATGTCCGTTTAAAATTATACAGCACAACAAACAAGAGCCTCAGAAATGGCCATCAATTTGAATAAAGACACAATCTAAATCTCTTCAACAAAAGTAAACATAATAACCTTTATCACAGTATGATTTACAACAGGGTCGTTTACTGTCATCAGACCCTTGAAACCATCTCCTGCTGTCTTCTGTCCATTTCCCCCTGTTTTTATCTCAATTTATGATTTACTGAGTAAAAGTTTTATTTAAAAAAAAAACTACAACAGTGTTGAAAATTTGAAATGTGTGATTTTGGAAATGTAACCCTTTGTTTTTGTTTTGCAGCATCACATTTATGTCAAGGAACCACAATGGCAAGTGACGTATGCAGCCATGTGAGGGTGGTAGTTCGGGTGAGGCCCACCACAGAGAGCGAGAAGACTGAAAACTGTCGAAGTGTGGTCCAAGTGGTTGATAACCACATGCTCATATTTGACCCCAAGGAAGAGGACACATCATGTTTTGGGTCACAAAGAGTCAGAAACAAAAATATCAACAAGAGGGCAAATAAAGACCTTAAGTTTGTTTTTGACCAAGTCTTCGGCGAGGAATCGACCCAGGATGACCTCTTCGAGGGGACCACTAAAGCCGTTTTGGATGGTGTGATGAATGGATTTAACTGCACAGGTAATACAACAATAATAATATGTTTTGTGTTATAGCTTTACCTGGTTGCCAAACATATTAGCATCCCCAATCTGTAAAGAAACAACTGAACAGCCATTTTTCCAAAATGATATAATGATATAGTGAACTATTGGAATCCGACTGAGTGAAAGCTATATCATCCCAAGCAGCTAATCTGCTGGAGTTAACATTTTGGCCTTTTGACCGCCTCTCTTCAAATCCAGCATCACCAAATAGTGAAGTTCAAATGCAGCTATGAGTCACAGCATTTTTTTATTTAGTAATTTCTTATCAACATGGCTTTCTGACTCACACTGTTGATTATTATTTGGAACTGTTGGCTGCTGTTCATTCACTTCACAACGCTGTGTTTTAAATCAGCACAAATGGGACATTTTGACTCCTTCGTGTACTGATGTAAACAGAATCCGACACTTCAGAAAGCCATCATTGATCCATTGAAAGATGCTCGGATCAGCTGAAGATCTTGTGGAACAATGTCCAACTAGTTTACAGTTTATTATGTACACCTAGCTTCACCAAATGCAGTTTGATTCTAAAGCCATGCAATACAGCCTATCTTCATGAGGTTTTATTGTTCAGCTTTTGTTAAGGCTGCTTTAGAGAGGGGTTTTTTCAGCTTTAGCTTCATTCTTAGGATGGAGTTTGTAGTGCTGTTGAAATAACGAGATGTTTCTATTATTTAGCATAGCCTCATTGATATAAATATAGGGCGAACAAATAAAAGAAAGACCTATCTGTTTACCTATGTCAACATTAACTTTTAAATTAGATTTGGTTCAGGGGGGTGACTGAGTTTAAAGCATGTCATTCAGGTTGCGTTGTGGGTATTGCATACTATAGGCTTAATCTCAAATATAGGCTGATTAGAACATCTTCATTCTCTATCAGTTATAATTCCCTTAGCAAAGCTTTTCATAATGAGCGCAGTTTTTTCTTGGCTTCACAATGAAATATAATATGTATTGTGCTTCAATTGTTCACTTTACATAACATTAGGTTGTGGTTATGCTCTATCCAAAGTAAGTTTGTTGTTATTGTTTTCTAGATAAGAATTGTAACTCTATGAGCATGTTTTACTTACATGGAACCTTGTCTTTCACTTGCAGTGTTTGCATATGGTGCTACTGGAGCAGGCAAGACACATACTATGTTAGGTGCCCAGAATGACCCCGGGGTCATGTACCGCACGATGACGGAGCTATTCAAACGCATGGAGGATGCCAAGGAGGAGAAAGAGTTTACTGTTGCATTCTCATATTTTGAGGTGATTATTTGAATCTTATTATTATTATTTTTCTGGTAAATACATTTTTAGACTTAGACTAACTCTTATCCCTAATAGAGCCTTAACCCAATCAAGCATTTTGTTTCGACTGAGCTCCTGGGATGAGTTTGATGGATTTGCAGTTATATTGTTTGTTTACAGGTTTACAATGAACAGATCAGAGACTTGTTGGCGAATATTGGGCCTCTTGCAGTCAGAGAGGACAGCTCTAAAGGAGTGGTTGTTCAAGGCCTCACGCTACATAAGGTTAGTAGCAATATGTATTATACACACTCCCAATTAGCAGGGGAAGAATTATAACATCTGCTAATAAATAAAGATATACCTTTTTTTAAATAAAAATATATTGTTCTATAAAATGTGGCTATGCAAACTAACTATTTAATGTTTATCTTCACTGTTCAGTGGCTGTGGTTTGCAAGAGCTGAATGGCCCTTTCTCTGGTTCACAAACCATCCCTGATATTACCTTTTTGTGTATATTTATATACAGCCCAAATCTGCAGCGCACATCCTTGAAGCTCTGGATACTGGCAATCACAACAGGACACAGCACCCTACTGACATGAATGCCAACTCTTCGCGCTCCCATGCTGTATTTCAGGTATTTCAATCCATTGTTATTAAAGAGGAGAACTTATGCACACCTGTAGATAGACGGCTGCGTAGGAGAAGGCCATTTGTCAACAATACATAACAAAAGGCTCCCTCACACTATCTTCTTAGTAACAGTCTTTGGGTACACATACCTTCATCTGTGTTGTCATAAAATATGTCTCTGATTTCAAGATAATTAGACTGTGTGGAATCTTCTGTTCTGTAAAACCTGTGGTTATCATACCACAAACTGTCATGGGTTACAACATTAGTACATTCCAGTTTTATTTAAATACAAAGGCAGATTCATGAACATAAAAGACAATTATTAACAAAAGATCAAACATAAATACAAAACTTTAACTGCAACCCCTCCAATTTCAAGAGGGCAGTTAATATCTTCAGTCTATAAGATCATAAGTATTTCAAGTCTCTTGTTTCACTGCAAACATCTACAACGCATCGCTGTTTACTTCTTAATAGTCTTGAATTGACAGTTCTTTGTTCTTTTCTTCAGATATATTTAAGGCAGCAGGACAAAACGGCCAGCCTCAATCCTAATGCCTGCGTTGCAAAATTGAGCCTGATTGATCTGGCAGGCTCAGAGAGAGCCAGCGCCACCAACGCTAAAGCGGCACGTTTACGAGAAGGTGCTAACATCAATAAGTCACTCCTCGCCCTAGGGAATGTCATCAATGCCCTCGCTGACCCAAAGGTGAGTTCATATTATCCTACATTTAATGCTGATAACATAAAAAGTGTTGCAAAAATGTGTCAAATATGTCAGCAACCCACTTCTTTGCTCATGTTTGCATCCCATGTTTGTAAGGCAGTGTTTTGTTGTCAAGCCAAGACAGACGAAGGCCTAAGCCATCCTTATTGAGCTATATTTCAGTGCTTTCAGAAATCTATGGGTGACGTCACAGAGACTGCTTCTATAGTTCAAACAGCCTCTGGTCTGGACAGACATGAATGCAAACTGCAACTTCACTGGTTGGCGAAGGTATAAAACCACAAGGGGGTAATTCTTTGAAAAGGCACAATCACGCAAAATAAGGTAAATAAATTAGAGAGAGAAAAATCACTTTATTACCATTCTCAATGTTTCGATTGTTTTTGAAATCCATATGATTTTCGCATTATGTCTGATGAATGCTCTGGTGTTATAATAGCCAAGAGATGTGCGTCAACATTTTACAGGACCTGCGTATTTTGCAAACACTGCTTATATTTTCCAAGGTCATTATGCCATAGTACCAGGTTGCCCACTCGATCCTAGACATTCTTGATTGTTTTCTGGCCCTGAAAACCAACATTGTGGACGTTTTGTCTATTAAGTACGGTGGCCCTGAAGTGCAAGTCAAATCAGCATTTCAGAAAACGCTACAGCATTTCACAAAACACTTCAACATTTCACAAAGCACCACAGCATTTCACAAAACACTACAGCATTTCAACTTTTACGGAAAGGGTATTCCTTTAGGGAGAACACTTCTTGTTTGTGATTGGACAGAGCCAGCCAGAGAAGTACTGCTGTGATTGGTTGTTTTTGCTGCCAGTCAAGAAATTACGCTTCTTGATTGGTCAGCACCCGAAAGCGCAACATGTCCCAAAACATCAGCCGTTAGCTGTTGGCACACAGAGCTCACAGCTCCTCATATCTGTTCAGAAACTGGACAAAAGTTAAACATGTACAAACCACAGACTGTCTGTGTCATGGTGAATACAGTCGCTATTTTATTTCTGTCTGTATGACGTTGTTGTGAGTTTGGACGGAGCAGCTACAGGTTAGTTTATCCTGGTCGATCCGATCTCCATTCAGAAAACACGCATTCTAAAAGGTTTTTCGCCTGCCGTCTTGTCTGCAGACTTGTCACAGCATTAATTCATGTTTTTTACTAACCGGTATCAGTATGTGGTTACTTCGACATCATTTTGAAACGCGTATTACAATTAAATCATAAAAATATGTTCATTTTGTTGTAGTTGGTATCTACCAAATTATTTGCATGGATATAAGCCCCGCCCCCTCTCCAGCGTGTCTTGTTTGAATGACAGGAGTAAACACAGCTGACAGCCGCGGTGAAGCCTGAAACTCGAGCGATTAGAGCGATGCGAATATTCGGGGCTTATCTCCATGTAAATACTATGGTAGACTACAATAAAATGAAATGCTGTGGTGTTTTGTGAAATGTTGAAGTGTTTTGTGAAATGCTGTGGTGTTTTCTGAAATGTTGTAGCGTTTTCTGAAATGCTGTTTTGACTTGCACTTCAGGGCCACCGTAATTAACAGAGAATGAAAAATGTGGCTTCTCTTTAATATATTGAACAGGGTTTCACCTGGTGTGTTTGCTGGGAGCAGTCTGCTAGATGCCTCAGTGACAGCTGCAAGTTAAGATAAGCGGTCTGTTCACAAATGAGACAGCCGCACCAAGGCAGCATCTGCAAGACTATAGGGACTGAACCAAATGCTTGGTTATCTATGTAACAAGTTAAAGGTGGGGTAGGTAATTTTGGAGAAACCGGCTCAAGTGCACTAGAATTTGAAAATACACAGCCGGAAAAAATCTGCCACTTCCTTACAGAGCCCCTCCTCCAACACACGAACGCGCACATGACCAATGAGGGCACGAGATAAGTTTGTGCACAGATGGAAGGCTGACAGGCAGGTAGGCCATCCAGTTATTTTAGCCGGGCCGGCTCAGATGATTGGTCGTGCTTTTTACAGCACTACGGCTTCAACAGATGAACATTTATGGATTTTTTGTCAAAGCACTTAATGTATTCATTGCTATCGGGATGTTAAGAGCATTCCATGGAATATAACAAAAAGTGTATCTCGAGCCGGTTTCTCAAACTTACCTAACCCACCTTTAAATGCTAGTTGTGATTAACAAAAAAATATTTTGAAACATTTAATATGTTGCTTTTTTAAATTATTTAAAAATCAAGCAATTATAATATTTTTAAAGCAGCCATACTTCAAAATTATTTATTTTTTCAAATTGCTATGGTTATAGGTATATGAAGTTAGGCACTAGCTTGTATGTAAAACGGAGAGCCTGGGATGTGTAGAGTGAACTGAGTATTTGGGTATAATTGCATTCCAGTTGCATACATTAACCTGTCAAGCAGTCTTCTCATTTTACACACCAGTCTCAAGGGACGAGGCGCAAGCAGGCCACATGCATTTAGTGCTGTGCACATGTACCGGGCCATGCTGAAATGTGATCCTTCTTCAACAGGTTGCTTAACTCTTGTGTTAAAACTGTGTCCATCTTATATTATACTCGACCCACCTTTCCAAAGTGTTCCAGTTGTGAACTCATAGTTTAATCTGCTTAATTTAGTACATATCCAAACCCAATCCCCATGGTTATTGGCCTTGCAGTGTTTACTTTTGGCAGGCAAGGAATTCACGTTGTGGATATTGTTTATAGGAAAGAATGTCCCCACTTGTGTCTGGGCTGACATGCCGCTTGTTTGAGTGAAGAGAAATCTCATCTTCATGCTATGCTGCTTCGTGTTTTTTGTTGCAATTGTTTGCCGTATGCTATGTCCAAACCAATGCAGAGACATTTTTCTGAAAGTGTCCAAAGTGAAATGAAAATGCTCAATGGTAAAAATAGTGAAAATGTTGCTTTTTTTTAAATACGAATATGTGGTTTTCAACTTTAAAAAACAAACAAGATTCCTAATGGAAAAAAAGCCCCCCTCACTTATGATCTATGTTCAAATGATTATGTTAATTGTATGCTGGTGCAGTGGTAACAGCGATAACTACAACCTTTTACATTCTTCATATTGTGTGGTTTTCTATGATTAAAGAAATGTACTTGACCATGGAGAGTAGTCGGTAAAAAAAACTGAATGCATCATTGACAGACAACCAGACAAAGCCCATTTAAAGCATAGTGGAATTGAGGTTCTTATCAAGCGCTTGTTTTTCATAGCTGCTTTAAAATTCCCCTTCACATTACTGAAGGTCCTTCCATTCATTTGACATTGAACCTGTAACAGATTTCCCATCACAGACCAATCTATTGGAGTCAAAACATATATTTCAGTTTACTTTTAGATACAGACATTGCTAAAAGAATACATTTGAGAGCAAGTTTTCTAAATTTGCATTGCTATCCTGAATCTTCCTGGATCTGACATGAACTATAACTAAGGTCTTCGGATCCAGATGTAGCATTAGGGTGTTTCCAGGGAGAAGTGCAGGCACAGCTGCTAACCCCAAAAGAGATCCTTTTTCACTCATTTGTTACTTAACTTTAATGTGACTTTCTGCAATCCCTATGCCCTTGAGATTGTGACTCACCTAAGCAGCTGTAGTCTATCTGACGCCATTATAGCAGACTGAGCTGTGTTCCCAGACCAGCTGCAGGGGGACTTCAGACCACTGTGGTCCATGGCTGTTCCCTGTTTTGACTAAAATGAATACTTCATACTGAATTTAGTTTCCTGTTAAGTTTATTGGTCCCCACCAAATAGTGTAATATGACTAAGCTTTTCTTGTGCGGCTTGTCCAGATGGAGAATGCATATTAAGGTGCACCTTGTGTTTTTCTTCATATCACAATGCACCTAACTCTCCTAAAAGTTGCTCTTTTGGTCATGTCTGACAGAAGTATTGAATGTCCATTTTCAGTATTTTCTTTTGATTTGATTCTAAATGAACTCAATGTTCACTTTATAAAGCAAAAAATACAATATAGTCTAATTTCTTGGACTGATGTTATATTTTCTCATTTGTTTTTAGAATAAGAAGACTCATATACCGTACAGGGACAGCAAGCTGACGCGGCTACTTAAAGACTCCTTGGGGGGAAACTGCAGGACGGTTATGATTGCCAATGTTAGCCCCTCATCCAAGTCCTACGATGACACCCACAACACACTTAAGTACGCCAACAGGGCCAAGGAGATTAAATCATCGGTAAGTATCTAAGCAATATATTATATAAATGAAATAATTATTTGACTATAGATGTATATTTTTAATCTTTACATGTTTTTCTCTACTTTTATCAGCTGAAGAGTAATGTTGTAAGCTTGGACAGTCACATTGGCCAGTATGCAGTGATATGTGAGAAGCAACGGCAAGAGGTGAGATGACACAACCAACACTACCATAATTAATGATACAAAAAATCTGGCAAATCTTTTTTTTCTGATATTTAAAATGTCTCTTTCAAACAGTTGCCATTATCCAATGCTCATTTCTTACTGCTATCTCAATTTTATTTTTGCATTTCTGAAGATTGTGCAGTTGAAGAAGAAACTCAAAGACTATGAGGAGAAGAACATGGTGCCTGTGGCCTCTACCACCATCTCTTCCCAGAAACAAGCAGAGTTTAAAAGGTAAGCATGTAGAAAGTAGGATTCAGGGAGTAATCTGAGACATAGAAAAATAAGTTGTGTCTTTATCTGTTATAAACTCTTTTATTAGAAGTCTCTATTATTTATTTGAACTTTGTAAATGGAATGCAAACACTGAATACATGCAGGAAGAGCACAAAGCCTTTTTTTTTTTAATTCATAGGACCTGGAATTAGACTGGAACATTATGATGACTAAATGACTTGCGATGAATAATACCAAATACTACAGTCTGCATTTTAGCTTTCCATTTCATGTAATTGTTTTTGTATTGTGACCTTTTGGTCCACTATTTGTTCATGTTTGTAGCATACTAGGCAGAGTAGCCTTTAGTTGGGAGATGTATGAGCTCCTCTCCCTGCCCACGTTCTCCAACACTTCCTGGGTGTTCCCAATGCATCAGAGGCCAAATGGGATATATGATCCCTCCGGCGTGCTCCCGGTCTGCCTCAGGGTCTCCTCCCAGCTGCATGTGTCTGAAATACCTCCGCAAGAAGGCCTCCATAGAGTATCTTAATCAGAAACCCCAACTACCTAGAATGGCTTTTTTCAATAAGAAGCAGCAGTTATTAAAGCTGGATTGTTGAAACCCTCAACCTATTTACAAAGGACCCAGGTACCACATTAAGAAAACTTATTTTGGCCCTCCCTGAACCTCCTAGTCTCATGCTTCACATTCACCTCACTTGTAAATGATTTTTGACCGCCGTCGCTTGCATCAACAACTCGGTCCCAACCAAAAGGACAATTCTATCGTTTTCTAGCAGAGTATAGTGGCTTCAGACCACTCACTGCTGGTGAAGCATTGGTGAAGCAATCCTCAGGTCCCCTAACTGGATGCTGTCTGCTCCTAGGTTGCACCTAAAGGATATTTGTCTATAAAAAAAACATGATGGCAACCTCTTAATGTTTGCATAATCTCTTGATTGCTCGGGGGAGAATTGTACTGAGCTGTTGTGGATGGATATTATTTGGTAGTTTTTGGATAGCCTGTCTTCACCCTTTTCATAAAGAAAATCCAAAAGTTAAAATGTAATATTCAACCAGGAGCAGCACCATCAAGACGATGCTAAAATAGAAGCAAACTACTTTTTTTCTACCAAAAGCATTTCTACGTGCTTTGATCAGTTAGTCAGTAAGTATCATGGTGGATCTCATACATTGAAAAAGGTGAACTGCTGTTTGTTCATTTGTTTGTGGTGCCATGCCCACACACTCACAACACAATGCGTTGGTGGGGTTTTTGACAGCTGAACTACCCAGAGTGTACAAAAAACTAAGAATAATTGTAATAACTGCACAGTTGATGATTCTTGGTACCTGTCCCTCACAAATAAAAAAATACATAATTCACGAAATGAATCATAAGCATCCGATGACACTTCTGCTAATCTGCTGATAAAAGTCTTGTACTGTTCTGTACCGTGTTCATATCAGCTCACAGCATGCCTTATTGACCTGAGATTTAGATTTTTTCAAAATACTTGTTTGTATAACTCTTATGAAATGTCATCCCACGAAATGTGCACCTCCTGGAAAACGGTTTCTTCCTGGAAAGCAGTACATCGACATGAGTCTAATTCCCCCTGTAACATACTCTTTTAAAATGTACTAACATTATTTAATGGAGAGACCTTCAGAGAGAACATTATTTGCCATACCTAGTATGTTTTAGTGTAATTAACAGCAATATTTTACACTTCATTAACAATTTGAGCTCTAGAAGCAGTTTTTCCACATCCACTTCTGACCTGCACTGTAGTCGCTGTAGACTTGAATAGAGCAGCCAGATGCTCAAATATTGATTAACAGGGTCTGTAATTAATCAAGCTTTTTGGGGGAGGGGCTTAATTAGTGTAGTTCCTAATTTTATACCTTTTTTTATAAATTCCTGCTTTATCCTTGCTTACTTGTTATCTGTTTTTTAAATTAACACAATGACAGATAATGGTTTTTTTTCAATCTAGCTAGTCACTTGTTAAACTAGTGAGGGACTGTTTGACCTCTTGGATTAAAGATCAAGTGCTTTGAGACCCTAGGATCAGGTTTGAAAAATACTGTCTAACAGTTTTTTGATTAGGATAAAAATGCAACCCTAATACATCTGCCACACATATAGAGTAGGTACCTCTGTGTATACCGGTGTGATACTAATGCTTTGACTATATATAATCAACATTAGCGTAACTATCTTAGTTACGGTTTAATTTGATAGGGACATCTGTGCAGCGCCTTTTTTATTCTAATGATGTATGCACATCAACTTCTTTACCATAAATCAGATTAACTACCTCCCATTTAGTCATCTTTAAGATATACAGTAGCATCTGTCGGGGTATTTGAGTTGGGGGCGGGGGACAAGAAAAAGCTGAATGAGTCTCACTCCCACACATTTCATTCACTGGCATCAGAATTCACAACTCGCACAGTGAGAGGCTCTGAATAGAGGCTGCACGCTTCTCAAGCTATTAAAAATTCAGCAGTCTAGCAAGGCCACGACGTCTCCTACGTCACTGAAGTTACATTGAACAGTGCAGTCACATTTCAGCGACAGCTCTCCAGTCTTATTTACCTGCGTGCCTCTCCTGTCTCTCCTTTTGCTTTTAACTCAAGCAGACAGCCACTTGCATCCAATCTCAATATCACCTCCACCGTGTTCCAGAAATAAACCTATACATCATATAGCTAAGAATATTTCTCCAGCTCAGAGCCGGTATTTTTAAAGAAGCTTTAAGAAACCATAAACAGCATATTCTAATACTTGACTCAAACCTTCAAGCAATTCATTGGCGAGAATAACGATAATAGTCATGCAAACATTTGATCTAAATAATACGTTTGGTTTCACCTGATTATTAAAAGGGTCGTAATATATTTTACAATCACATTAAAATCAATATAAATTGCTGTATTTATATTGGGTTTGAATTGATTGTAAAATATATTACGACCCTTTTAGTTTGTGTTATATACACATACAAATTGGTTTGGAAGAGCTCATTGTACAAAAAGTACGATGGAATTTAGTTTGACTGATGTTGATGTATCTCATTATACTGAGAGGTGTCACTTAAATACTGTCCTAAAGAACGGGGATCCGAATGAACAGTTTTTGATTTTCCATGTGATCACTTAAGATACTCATGTGTAATTGTCACCAATACATACCATATCAATTAAAAACATATACTTGTTACACTAAGTTATTCATGTTATTCTTAGTTTACATTTCTTACATTTGAATGCAAGATTGAAGTTGAATTGCGAAAAGGAGGGCAGCATTAATGTCTTCTTAAAATGTATGATATCAAACTCATTTTACACGCTTTCTGTAATGCTTGACATTCACTTTTGTTCAATTCAGATTTTCAAATGCAGCCCTTTTGATAGGAAAGATTCTCACATGTGAATATCACTCTTCCCCCTCTGTAGGGTGTCAGAAGCTCTGCAGCAAATCTTCTCGGGCCGGGCCCAAATCAGAAAAGAGCAGCTGGATCTGGAGAGACGACTGAAGGAGAACGAGCTGCGCCAGCGGTACAGTGAGGAGGACAACCTGCAGGTCCAATGCTTCTGTGCCAAAGAAAAGACTGAGAAGGTAGCTGATGCTTACGTTGCTATCCACACATCCCATCATCCCCGCAGACAAACAGCTGCTGAGTCATCATTTCACATCTCTGTTCTCTATGGTTGTCTTGGCCTCTCATTTACGCCACTACAGGAGGAACTATGCTCCCCAGCACCTGGCTCCTCTCTGCCAGTGTTGGTCCCAGCTGTAAATTACACTTAAAGTATAATTAGCACACAAAAAATGTCTAAGACCAAACTTTATAGAATGGTTCAATGTCATCCAAAACAAATTAAAGTGTGAGAACAAATGACCTGATATTGGTTTTAAATCACCTGCTTTTGAAAACTTCTATATTATAAGAAGAAATAATTAGTTTCAGATGAACTTCTTCAATAATTGACAACACATGGAGTATTTACATTATTGTTAAGAAATACTTTGACCACAAACATAGTTAAATATGTCTCACATTAATCCTAGCAATGCCCAATTCAAACTTAAATGTGTTGTTGTTGCTTTCATTAGGCCACTTGCAAGCATGAGCGGAAGATTGCCAGCTTACGCACTCAGCAGCAGCACATTCTGAAGCGTCTGAAGGAGGCACAGGCGCGTTTCCTGGACAATGACGGCTGGCTACATCGAGTTGAGAATGAGATCAAGCTGCTGAAGTCCAATGATCAGACCTCGGAGGTTAGTAGAACCAAGTGACATCTGTGCATTAACTAGTTATCGACTTCCAAATGTGTGTTTTTGTTGTGACTTTGATAAGTACTCAGACTTAACACTTGCTTCACAGATGTTCTATGTAATCATTTATATTTCACTTTTATACAAAATAAATAGAAATGCTTCATGGTTTAGTATCAGCTTTATTTGTTTGATCATAACAATTGTGTCACCACAGTGCTTGTAGCCATGCTTATACAACTTCCAACAACCTTGGCATTGGCGAGGGAGTACATTAATTCTTGTATGTTTTTTAATAGATAGATCAGTGGAGGCGAGTCGTGAGTTAAACTAGTTACAACATTACATACCTTGTGGACAGGATGAGATAGTTAGAGTTCATCTAAGAAGACAAATAGGCATGATTAGATCAAAAGAATAACTTCACAATGTGGGTTACATCCTTCAAAACTCATCACTTGGTGTTTTTTGTTTGTTTATTTTGGAAGGTAGGCTGTGTCTCTACTGGTGTCGTGACTGTCTTTGTTTTCTTCCCATCTGTTCTCCCAGTAATTAGAACCGTGCTCATTTTATTTCTCCGGCTCACTCGTGGATCGCTGAAGAGAATAAATCAATACCCTTTACTCATCCCTCACACTGCAGCCAGTTACCTTGCTTAAACCATGCCCATGTTATGTTTTTCTTCTTTATCCTTTCTTCCAGGAACTGACCCAGAACTGTGACGCACCCACCGGTCAAATGTTCTCTCTGCTGTTGTTTCGTAGTTTCTTTACGTCAGAGTTCTTTCTCTTTTTTTCTCCCCTTCCTTCCTTACCCGCAGCAGACAGATTTTCTGATGAGACATGGATGAAAACAGAACTTTGCATCTTCTTTTCTCTTTTGTTTCTTTTAATTCTGCCTTCAAGAGTTTCAATTCAATATGTTGTTCTGTTAGAATGGCTATTCCCTCGTCATTTCTGCTCTGAACTCACTTCTCCCCTTTGTTCAGGTGTTGGATAAGAGCCTACACGGCCACCGACTGGAGCTGCAGGTTAACGATCTCAAACAACACATCACTCAGATGGTGGAGCTCACTGCACTGCAGGATCAGGAGAACAAGCGAATGCAAAAGTATGTTTGACAATAACTAGAAACAATTATTAAAGAACTGTTGATCAGTCTCGCTGAAGAAATTGCACCTTACATTGCTGTAACTTCTATTTTTTTCATCTGTTAAATCATATTTTTTCATTGCTTTTTAGAATGGTCAACATCTTGTTGCCGGCTTATTCTCAGCACTACTCTACGCTGCGTGCGGCTGGGCTGGTCACAGCCGCAGATGAGATGGAGAACCATGAACTTGAGCACCTTGTGTTGAGGGAGAGAGGCGTGGTCTGGGCAGACCAGGAAGTGGCAGGGCAGCAGCTGAAAGGCGTGGGGGCCGGAGGGGAGTCTCAGGAGGAGGCGGGCTCCAGCGACCTGGCACCTGTCCTGTCCTTCTCACATCTGCTCTACCACCAGAGTTCTCCCTGCAGTAAGTCATCATTATTACTTATTTATTATTCTGCTGTTTATTAAACATATGTTTGGATGGATTGTTGCAAAACTAGTGAAGGTAGGAAAATGAGGTAGTGCAAATTATTTGTTTAGTATTATCAATTAATATTTCATTTTTTAAAAGTTTTTTAAGAGTTCTTCAGTCAAATATAATTATAATTATTAAAAATGCTTTTTTTATTTTTAAGAAAAGCAGCAAATCCTCCGATTCTGGAAGCTATTTCATTTCAATGTTTGTCTTTTTTTTCTAGATTTGATTGGTTAATCCAGTAATTGTTTCAGCGTTGAAAAGTACTGCCATGTAGCCTGACTGGGAAGCTGTCAATTTGCTTGATCTCTACAGGAAGACCTGACCACATAGCCACAACATGCATGACTAATAAAAACATCAGATGTTTCAGTAATGGGTTATTGCTTATAATCAAGACATCTACTTATAAAATGTCCATTAAATGTTATTCTAGAAAATGTCCATTAAATGTTATTCTATAAATCGCCACTGAGAGAATGCACCACAGCTCCCAAATGAGTTAATTGAAACTGGTCAGATATAAAAAAAGGACTTGCATGTGCATTCATCATCTTCTGCTGGTGGGAAGAAAAAAAGAGAAGGTGTCATTTTTATGGGGAAGCAGGTCTCCCCTATAATTACATATAAATGATTTGTCCCCCTCAATTAACTCTACCAAGTGCATGCGACAGAATGAGGGAGAGAGAGAGAGGGAGGCCTCTCATTGACTGAATCTGTGTCAAGTCAGACATTCATCTCTCTGATGTGCAGAATCTTAGCTGCTTGCTAATGTTTTAATGCCCCACCAATTTATCTGTTTTTTTTACTTTAGTTTTTACAAAAGTTCATTTCAAATGGCCACCTCTGTTGTATAAATCATATTTACAGCTGACATTCACACCCTTTCACAATATATTGTTTGCTCAGGATATTATGTGCCAAGAGTAGGGCTGCACGATTTGGGGAAATAATCTAATTGCGATTTTTCTGACAGATATTGCGATAAAATTTGCGTTATATATATATATATATAAATAATCTGAAAGGACATCCACAGGAGAGTGTTTCCATAGATAAAACACACATACACAGAGACAGTGACACACACACACACATATACACAGACACAGGTCTTTCTCTCTGACCCAGTTCACGGTTCATTAAATAAAATATAATACACAGATTCTTCACTGATTGTACCTATATGGTCCAACGTTGCTTCTGGCTCGGCTGAAGCCATTTATCCACACCATGAATGTTGCTAGAAACGTCTTCACACATGGGCGTTTCACGTGCAGTGTTGTTGTTGGGCGTATGCATAGTTACCTTGGGCCACTTCTGATTGGTTAACAATGGCTATTACCTGTGGAGCACAGCACTTCTGATTGGTTAACAATGGCTATTACATGTGGAGCGCAGCACTTCTGATTGGTGTGGATGACTGACACACAAGAAGAAGAAAAAATTGCATCATTTCAAATCGTGATTTTGACTTAAAATCGATTGTGCAGCCCTAGCCAAGAGTAGTATAGCTACATGGACCGTGTCACACACATGTATTTTTTCATTTATTTATTTGTTCCAATCTTGGTACATAATTCATACAACACCTGTACCCTCAGACCATCAGACCATGATGGAAAGGAGCAGAGAGTAGAAACACTTATTTGCCCTGCCTCTAACACAACATTAGCTGCTCTGTCATCACAGCTGCCAATGAATACCTGAATAGTATCCTTTTTAATATCTTGAACACCACCCAGTAAATGTTTTGCACAAAGTTAATAAAATGACACCCCTCCAAGGGACATCTTAAATGTAAAAATGTTAGATTACACAAGTGTAAGAAGTTGTTAAATATATTATTCAGGAGTCCTGTAGGGTAGTTGAATGAGGTCCAGTGTATTTGGCATTAATCCAGGTGCAGTGTGTATTGTAGGGCTCATAAGATTGCACTGTTCATGTTCACTTTAACTGTCCTCTTAGCATGACCTAGCAGCCCCTGAGCCCCTTGTGACGTATAAGATACGACACACACTGGAGCATGAACCAAAGCTGCTTAACAATCCTCAATTACTGTGATGATGTCTCTCATTTGTGTGGCCGTAAACTCTGCACCTGTCCCTCTCTTCCACTGCTGGCTTATATCAAATTGTATTCCATCCAGTACTTCTTTTTAAAGTGTTTTTTGTTTGGGTCCATTTAAATTCATTGCCTGTAATATAAATCATTTCACAACTGAATACAGACGATAGTATCGGCCTCCTGTGAATCATAGATTCAAGTTTAAAAGATAATAAGATGTTTGTTTAAGATTTAAAACCTTTCAGGATTATTTGATTGTTGGGCAATTCATTATGTCCCTTCTGACATCTCGGCCACATTGCCCTGCACCATGTGTGGGCTTTTGTGTCAGATTCATATTTTCTTGAACATCAACACAACAGTAAGATCGACTCTTCCTAAAGAAAAGATTCATTTAAAATGAGTAAAATTATGTTGGTACAGTCTGCACAATGAGAGATCCTTGAAACATAGACCGTCCTCAATGTTGGAAAGTGTTAAACCTTCATCTCATTTTTATACCAGCAAACGTTTTATTTCAATTTCAGTAAATAGTTTCAAAACAACAACCCATTTGGTCAAACTGAACCAGCACCTTTTATGTAAGATTTCTAACAAAAACATCCACTTAAAGGTCTCAGAGGTTTGTCAGGCTCTCTGTGTCGTTGTTATTTTGATAAAGGTGTGTACATTTAGCTTCTGCTTGAATCTCTTCATTATTTTTTTTAATTCTCAGGTGCAGAGAGGCGCAGAAAAAGAACCATGCTGCTTCACCCGAAAGGTAGATCTACTCTCCTCTCTTCCCCGTCATGCTAACATACTGTAGTCATTAATCCTAAAGCCCTGCCTGCTTGTTAATCCCCCCCTCCCCCTCAATCATTCACTTCTCTCCTTGTCACCTTTCACTCAATCCATCACACTTGCCCAAACACACATTTAAGAGATGATGCTACGTTTTTATCGAAGCAGAACACACACATCATAAAATTGTGTTTTCAATGTGCCATATAAACGTACAATTGTTTTTGTGTGAGCCAAAATGTCCACCTCTTATTTGGTGAACGTGTTTTGAGCAGTTTAAGTTAAAAGCCTTCTTCAGAGTAGTAAAAATGAACAATAAAAGTCATAGACGTAATATAATTAGATTTATAGGTGTGCTGCAGACATTCCGCCCTGGCCAAAACATGAATAATGAAATGATGTGAATACTCAAAAGCAGTTTTATAGAGGGAAAACTGTACACATGGAACCTGTAGGGAAATGTAACACAAAAAGCTCTCTGAAATATTGAAGTTCAAATTGGCTGTAATGATATTTACTGCAGTTGGTCTACATTTCATTGAAACATATTGTGGGAAATGTAACTTTTGAAGAAAATAGTCCTGCCAGATGACCAGAGTTTCTTGAATTGCAATGAAACATGAAAGCACGAGGGAGTTTGCCACCACTGATATGAAGTTTCCCTGCTACGTATTATAGAAAGTCCTTCTTTCTGCCTGGCCCTTCCTTCTTCATGCCAAGCCAGTTGTTTCCATTTGGTCATTTATTATTATTTGCTCATAATTTAAGTTTTCTTTGGCAATACATCTATAGTTGTCTCTCTGCAAATGTCAACACCACCACTCAAAATGGTATTACTATGGTGATCTTTTATATTTTTGCAAACAAACTTGAATGGCCAAACATTAACTGTATTTATCATGTGTTACACCCACTATAAAACTTTGGGTGGATATGGTATTTGAAATAAACAAACGTTAGACATTCCTCTAATAGAATAGTACAAAGCTGTTATTGACAACATAATACGTTATGGGAATAAAGAAATATAAATCATAGTAATCTGCAATCTTTCTTTGAGTTAGGAATGTTATACATTTTTAAAAAGGGCACAGCTTTATAGTATTATTCCTAAATGTACCAGACACAAAAAGGATTTGTTTATATGATGTCCATAATATCAACATGCCTACATACAGCAACAGAGATGCAACACACCAAATACATGCAAGGCTTTTAGAGGCTTAACATTTGCTTAATAGTGAATAACCAAATACTTCTTTCAGTGTAATTTGTTCAGTCAATAATTCAGTTTATTTGCATAATACTTTTGTAATTATACATGTTGTGCAGCACTATCTTAATGATCAGTATATGACATATATATGTATATGCAGTTGACATAACACAGATTTTCTCATAACTATGGTTCTATTTAGCATCTAGACGAAGTGCTCTGATCTGATCCTGATGCTGTTTGGCAGCCCCTCACTGCTTCCTCAGCTCTTAATGGTAGTCACTGCAGCATGTTATGAGGAATGGCTCCACCCTGCAGCTGGCAAAGCCAATCACATTTCATCCTTTTTAAAAAGGGTTGGGGTTTTGAAAGCGCATTAACTCTTTGTGTGCTGCTTAATAATAGCATATCACATAAAAGTGCTCCCTTTGAAGAAACACAATTGAGTGTTGATTTCTAAACGTGTGCACACGTGCGTTTATTAATAGCTTCAGGATGTTTCATTCAGTTACCTCCCACTGCCCCCTTTATGCTGTTCTTTTTATATTCCCATTCGATCCTGTACCTCTCTCTTCTCTCTTATCTATTTTTTCCTCCTCAGATTTTTTCTGTCCTTTTGCTTCAAACGTCTGTCAGTCTGGCTTTTTCCTCCATTCTTCCTTTATTTCCCTCCTACCCTCAAATGTTTTTCGCTGTCTGTCTCGCATCTAACCCTCCCAATCCCTCCTGAGCTTCATTCATGAAAATGCAGATCCACAGCAGGGCAGGAAAAAACGTCAACAGACGTAAACTCCCCTGCTCCACCAACCAGAAAAGGCGCACTATAAAAAACAGGCAGCAGCAACCAGGCGACCCTAATTCAGTGCAGCCTCCACCAGAAATAGCAACTCATGCATGTATTAATCCCCTACAAGCCAAAAATATGTGATTGAAGGAAAACGGCTTCCATGTATTGCTATAGGGACAACTCCTCTGCCACAGAAAAGAGCGATTTATCCTCGTGCTGTCCGAGGTCTGACTCACATTTGCTAAATATTGCATTTTGATATTCAAGGTTATGTCTAACTCAGTCATTCACCTTTGCATTTAGTGCTCTCACTTCCTTTATGTGCTGGAATGTTTCCTTTTTAAACCCTCACTGCAGGAAATGCCACGAGTGTAATGCTGTTTGTAATGGGATGCAGACACCATGATTTTAACACAATCTGCCCCAAGATGTGGTTGTCATTTTATAAAAAAAAACTAAAAAAGACAATATGGCATCGAAATTACGACATTCAATTACTTGTCTAAATCATTATTTGAATAAATATTGATATAATTTGGTGATCCTGTTTTAGTTTTTAAAGGAACCAGAGGCTTCATCATCATGTGTTAAACATAATATATTTTAATTTCAACATTGATCTAAATGCAGGCATGTATTTGTGCTCAGTGTTACAACTGTCTTGAAAAGGAAACAAACATCAATGCTGTTGGGAATATGCCCACTTGCTATAATTACCACTAATTAATGCAAGTGTGACTATTCCCTATGGAATAAGGCCGTGGAGTCCATCACTATTCACTATCTGCTAACATAAGCTATCTGTCAGTGCTCGACTGCTGTGTAGCTACAGTCTTCGTGGCTGTGTCCACAGTCGGTGCACGCAGGAAGGTTCTGACCAACGGATGATTTAATATTTCCAGGGGTCTAACTCCTGTAAAGCTTACAATTTAATAAAAATCTGGGCAAAAAAGAAATTTAAATCATTGAAATTCATACATCTTTTTTGCAGTCAAATGCCACAATGATAAAAATCAAACCTTGGAAATATCATAAATACAAGTTCCTGGCTGTTTACGGGTCACCGGCCTCATAGAAAGCAGTGGAATAGAAAAGTATTTGAGGATTTCCCTGTGTTCATTAAATGGTGCAGTTCGCTAGTATATATTAAAATGCACATTTTTGCCATGTGTTTTACCCTGGTAATTGCTGGAATAGTACGTTTTTTATTTAATGAGAGCAATAAACAACAGCACACTAATTAGGTACGATTATATTAAAAAAATAATGTTGCCCATAAAAGTTCTATTGCACCTTCACTTTATACTTTTTAAAAGCAGAGTTCAGAGGGTTCAGCGCTGCGTGTTTGAGCAGTATATTTTCCTTGTTTGAAAAGAAACCAATCCAAGGCTGTTAGCCAGTAGTCCTTGAGCTCTGGTTTATTTATATAATGCAGCGCTTTTAAAGATAATAATGCCTGTCACAGCTTCATTCTGACATTGTAAAGTTTAAATGTGCAAATAAGGCACTATAATGTTTAATTGTCTTGTGCCATGTATAACCTCACCAACACTACTGCACACTTCCGGATGTAACTTAAGGGAATGATCCATCTCATTTCTCTGTTGTGACATTTTGTAAATTGCACTATTTAGCCCAAGGCTGGCACTTCAGCACTTATTACTGATTGAATACAGGGACCGCGTCATTGGGGATGGGTTTGTTAACTGTTGCTCTGCTGTGGTTTGATTAGCCTTTTTTACTCTTAAAGCCCTTCGTTGTAAACAATGCATTTAAATATGCTTATATCGGTTATATATTTTTACGAAACAATGTTTTCTTTGGTTTCTTGTTGTAGCCTATGGAAATTGTATTCCTCTAAAAAATATAATATTCATAACTTAAGAAGCAACAGTCAACTTTTGAGTTTGTAAAAAAAGAACTCTAGCTGTCAAAAACTCAATTCTCAATCAGGGTTGATGGACAATGTCACATTGTCCCCCACTTCGAATCAGGGATAAAAGCACAGAGAAAAAACAAATACAGATCATTAATGTGAAATAGGTTTACCAAAAATGTTCAAGCATCTTTTATGTTATTGCTGCTTTGTCCATTTTTACTAAATGATGATTGTTTGTTTATTTAGTTGGAGGAAAACAGCCAGATATGAAAGCAGAACTACGTCCAACGATGCCCACCAGGAGGAATCTGTCTGCGTTGCTGGCACCACAAAGCCCTCAGACGTTCGCCACAGCCGAGGTGTTTGAGGAGGACATGTTCCCACTCAAGTCCACACCAGAACCTTCTCAAAAAACATTTAAAGACTTGCCACAGAGCTCAAGTGCCATGGATCCTAACATGACATTTGAAGTTATGGACCATGATGATCAAACTGCAAGCAATGCAACCATCCTATTAGGAAGTGGGAGACCCTGTCGAGCGTTGGCGTCAACAGAGCTCTCGGGTCCCAGCCAACCACTCCGACTTCCGGAAGCCAACGAGGAGAACCAGGTTCCTAACAAAAGGTGAGAGAACGTTCATGCCTAAGCTTTCCTTTTGATTTTAAAACGTTTAAAAGGGTATGTGATCCTTCAGACACACATTCCTCCCTCCTGAAAGTTGGATAACATTACTAGTCAGTTTTGAGAATGGCTTGTAATGTTTAGATTACAGTTCTCTTGACACTAAGCATGCAGCATATTGTCCATATGGTGCACTCTTTTAACGTGTTGAAGTAGTCGTAAAAAATGCATCGATACAGCTGCATACTGCTGCTGCACTCCTGTGGTTCCTCCAAAAGGTTCTGCTACAATAGTATAGGACATTGTGTAAGTAAGGCTTCGGTAAACAATACTACTCTTTATGGGAACATACACTTTGGTAAAACACACAAAACACTGCTAACCCTGCACTGCTATCTGAAGTCCCACTCGTGTCATGTATTTCTCTGTTTGTCATGTACTTGCATCTTATACTTTTCTCTGGGTTGCACTCATAATCACCCAGGTGTCTCATGGTTTCTCATGCATCAAAGACTGACTTGATCTAATATTGTTAATGTCTTGACAAGCCAGCAAATATGTTTTCACCTGCTGTGTGCTTCCACATACTTTTAATGCTTTTAATAAGATTAGCAAACACCAATAATGATTTTCATTAACTCTCTGACCTATCGAGTACAAACAAAATAAGGGAAATGCTCACTTCCAATGCCTCTGTGCTAACAACAGCCGATCTGGAGGCACAGGGTTTTCCGGTTGCCTCTACGTCCGACCAATTTGTGTAAATGCAATATCTCAAGAATGCCTGGGGGTGATTTCTATACATTTGGCACCAATGTCCACTATGGCTAAAGAATTCATGCAATAATCATTTACATTTTGCACAGTCTAATCGGATAAAATGACTGGAAAAGGCATAAAAACTAAGAATAATAATGTAATGTTTGTTAAATATATATACTTACTATACTTGCTTGTATCATCTTCCCAGAAAGCATAAATAATGTTTGTTTTTTTTAAACAAGCATCTGTGTAGTTAATATTACATTGCATTTTATCTTAATTGGTTCAGAGGCAAACATGTATCTGTTAAATCAGTTCGATAAAAATGTTTAGGATCAAACTATAAACATGTCCCTTCGGCCGCCAATGAAAGTTTCCCATAATGTAAAAGACGCTCATTCTGGATGGCTACCAAACCCCACAGAAGTGGTAAATCCCTAAAACCTTATTCAAAACAAGACGGAGACTATAGTGCAAACAGAAGAAGTATTCTCACCAGCAGCAAGTTTCCAGACTGGAACCATAGGCCTAGAGGCTTAAGTCAGCTAAGAAGAGGCAAACAGAATAGGAAACATTTGGAGCAGAAGACGGGGTTTGTGTCAGTGAAAGATGTTCCAAGCAGATGAGCCTTTGCATTTACACATTGACCATGTATCAGTGTATTGGTTTCCAACTATCTTTAAAGGTCTCCTATTATACTGTTTTTCATCAATATATTATAGGTCTCAGATACAAAACATGTCTCTGAAGTGTTTGGCTCAAAATACCAAACAGATCATTGTAGCATCCCATAATCCCCTCTGTTTCAGCCCTGTTTCAAAAGTGCTGATTCTCTGTCTTTTACTTTAGAGGAAAATAAGGGGCCCCTCGTCCTCACGCCCTTCTGAGAGATATTTTGTTAAAAAGAACACAATGGTGCTCTTGGAAGAAATTCAGGTGATAAGGTCCCCCACCTTATCACCTGAATTTCTTNTGGCCGAAACCGATACCGAAAATAGAAAACAGTTGGCCGAATGCCGAAAGGCCGAAAATGATTAATAGAAATATATATATATATATATATCAAACTAAATATGAATGGATCATTCAGACAGTGAATAGTCGTTTGACATCTCCTACCTGCCCAAGGTGGCTATTGTAAGCCAAGTGCAACAGACTAGTGTTGCTCCAGCTTAGTCTGCTCCCAGAGTCACAGCATTTTGACCCAGCCCAACGAGAGACCAAGGCCATCATCAAGTATTGATCCATTTATTTCAGCTAGAGTACCTAGCTACAATCTTCTGGCATTCAGAATATAACATTCATGCTAATTTTAAAACCTTTTATTTACATAATAAACCTCTAGCTGTTTGTATTCTGTACACTTTCATTTTGAGGTGGTAAATGTGTAGGAACCCTGTAAAATGGTGCCCTCTGTATGGCAGTAACAGCGTCATGATTGTTGTTTCTTCACATTCTTTAGTGTGTTCACTCTTGTTGTCCTCAGATTCACAGGAGAACAGGCCACGAAGAGTTGTGAAGAGCGTTTCTGAAGGAAGCCTGATGGATCCTCAGGAGTCTAAGTCCTTTCTCCATAAAAGGTCTAAACATTTGAAACGGGCGACCAAACGGCTGTAAAGAAACATTGTGTTTGAATCCCACCATTTAGCCTTCTTGAAAACGTCCATTCTCCATATTTTTATAATATTTTCATCTCCTCAAAAGTATTTTCTTCAAAACCTAAAACTGTAGAGGTTTCTTTAACAAAATGTATCATAGATTGCACTAATATGTTAATATGTTGGATTGAGCCTCACACGGCAGTGGCGTTTTACTTGACTGCACTTTTTTCTTACATTGTATAGTTCTTGATAATCTAATTTGATTATGTTTAGATACATTAGTTTCTTTGAACTGTTCTCTAAAAAAAAAGGATTGATCTGGTAGGTAGCAAATGTCCCTGGGCAGCTAATATCAAAGGAAGATTACTTGACCATAGATTAAGGAATGGCTGCAGAAAGAATTGAAACTGCTCTACACTGAAAAGTTTGAATTTGTTTTATCTTTTGTCTCTTATGTACAGTTAATAACATTGATTTATGCTTATGTCATAATAAAAATGCTTGTAAAATAATCTGTGGATGTTTTTGAATGAGTAAGTCCCTTTCTAAAATGTAATCTCTGCCTTTGTCTGCAATTGAAATAGGGTCTGAATAAATGAAGAGGGTGATAGTGGTAAATGAACTTTTGGTTACATGATGTTCCAACGATGAATAAGTGACGTAGGCCGGGCTTAGGGAAGGTGAAAATAGGACAGCAAGAGAAATTGAACTGACCTAGGAGTGACCCACAGCATAACTCACAAACGTAACTTTCTCGTTGTCTTCCTATTGAAAAAAAGCTACCGTTTCATAAACCTTTATCAAAAAAGGTAAACCCAGAGTGCAGTGAGTGATGGGATGCTGTTTGTCTCTACCAATGCCTCGTGGGGTTTCAGGATGATAAGTGTTGTTTCACCTCAACAGAGCATAGACTCAACACTCAGTCTTGAAAGAGGTGTCATCACCAACTCAAACACTGATGTCGAAAAATGCAGTCAAGTTTTACTTTTATTTATATATACATATATATCTTTATTTATATACTAGTGATTATTAAAAATGAAAATCTGATAGGCAAGCAGATAAGTAAAAATAGCTAAAAGACAACGGCTAAAATATTGATAAACTAAAAGGTAACGTGGGAAAAACAGCGAAAATATAGCTTTATGATGGTTGGCCGAGAGCTACAGATAAAATGAGCTAATAGAAATAGCGAATCAGTTAGTTTGCCAAAAGTAATGGATAGGTTCCATACAAATATATATATATACTGTATATATTGTATGTAAAAAAATAATAATAATTGAATCAGTGGTTGAAATTGTTAGCTAAGCATAACAACAGAGTAATGGTGATGTATGTGAATGAAGTCTTTACCTCATCTGACAGTGCTGTGGGAAATGGGTTGGCTCAATCCCCCTTAAGATATTTTTAGGCTTTCCTACGTTGCATTTTTAGCCTGATCAAATGTGAAGGATCGTCGGGAACAAGCTTTTATTAGAATTCTATACTAAAAATGAATGTCAAAAATACCTCCTGCATCTATGATGAGGGTGGGACCTCATTGCTCTGTCTGGAGAGAACTAGACTTGTCACTTTGAATTCAGTCTTGCAACTTTCAGTAGCACAGCATTCAGTGTGATCTTTATTTTTAGCTCAGGAGCTCAATGCATATATCAGCACTGTACTGCGCAAGCACTGACACCCTCTCATGCTCTCATTCACAAGAATCTCTTCATTGTGTGTGTGTGTGTGTGTGTGTGTGTGTGTGTGTGTGTGTGTGAGTGTGAGAGAGAGAGACAGGGAGAGAGTGTGCGCACACACAGGGAGGCAGGTCTTGGCTAAAGTTTATTAACTTTCTCTTAGCCAATGGGGCTCCTTGTGCGTTTTTCCTGCTGACCAATGGGACAGATTGAGAGGTTGGAGGTGGGTGTTGCTTAGCAACTGCAGGTAGAATCTCAGATCATGTCGGACCCATTGTTTTATCTCGCCTCCCTGAGAGACATTACATGCTATGTGTTGTGATTTGTTAGTAAAAAAAAAACACCTCTGTGCAAATGCGTCACAAAGTTGTTAACTCTATTTTTGTTTTGTTAAACAAAGATCACAGTGACTTTAATGATGGTTCGCCCTCAAGTCAGAGCACTTTTAATTGATTTGCATTATGTTACTAAATGTAGCTGTTATTTTCATCGCCGAGTCACTGGAGAACATACAAGGCAATGTGGACTTTATTGTTTTATTTTCTGCTCCTAATTACAGCTGTAATAACCGTTATTGAACCTCATGCCATGTCAAAGATGGGAGATGATACACACAACACACAAGGCTGCTAAAAAGGGTTCCACATGTAGATGAAACCTCAGCATTTGCCTTTTGAAGCAAAGTATAACATACCTCACATCCAGATACCATCACAACAACAGGCACACACTCAAAACACTGTTGCAAATTATACTTCTCTTTATTATAATCCTGATTTAAGAATCTTTCAGCGTTTTGCAAAATTCAGTGTTTGAAAAGAGCCTTTATATTTGTGTTTTTGTGTGCATGGCTAAATATGAGCATATGATCCTTCTTTCATTGTTTCTGCCTCCCACAAAGCAGCATGTCACAGCTGTGAACTTTGTGGCCCCTGTATACTCACATGACCATCTTAAAGCCGAACACCCCTACAGTCTGTCCTCTCCCCACTTACAGTGTCACTTGTTGGCTTTTGTTCTGCCCATAAACAAAAATGTTACTCATGTTGTCAACTTGCAGTACTGTGTCTCAAAAATGTAGGTTAATTTAGAATTAAAATGAAAAAATACATTATTCCATGCTCCTCCTCTCAAGTTTTTTCGAGGTAATTAAATCATTCGTGGATACTTCAGGTAAATTATACAACATTTCTTTTAAATCTGAAAAGTTTTTTAATATTCAGTCAAAATACTGCATGGTAAACTGGGCCCTTTAGAGTTGCGTTTGATCATCCTCCCTTCCCGTGATGCTTGATGCAAATATTTAAATGGGGTTTATGGAAATTCCTGGCATGCACCCTTGATTTGGCATGTAAAGCAGCGCCAATGATTGCTGTTTACAACATGCACATTTGTGCCCAGTATGTCTGTCAGTCGGAGGCAAACTATTTGACATATAAGTATAAAATAAAAGTGTCTTTATCTTCAATTCGAGCACACTTTGGGGAGATATTTCAACTCGAAAGACAGTCAGCCATAGTGATTCTGCATAAGGTAAGCCTCGATAACTTAAAACTGTACAGAGATTGAAACTTGTACTGACACGATAAGACATAGGAAAATAAACCGTACATTGTTTGAAAAAATATTTATTTCATATAGAAGTTCGTAAACTTTGAAAAATCTAAGGTAACAACAACCATTTATCTTTCAACAAGATGATATACTGTCTATATCACATTCAGAAAAAGGAAGATTGTTTTATGTTCTCATTCACATATTACCTAACAAATTATGCTGTGACCGAATGATATCTGAATAGCTGTGCATTCAGTTATGTGTTTGCTTGACATCCCTGCAGTCTGTTTTCAGGAATGTTTTCTGTTATAATCTCCATCTGCATTTCACTCAGCAAACACATTCTGTGAGAAACATTGTGGCAGAAAATACCAGGCCGCCTTTATCAATACACAGCTGAGAGTAGACAGGACCTTGTGCGGTGGTTAAAGTGGGGGGGGGATGGGTGAGATTTACAGTTTCCTTTACCAGGTAATGTCTCCTGTTGTGAAACAATGTGACAGAAAATCAGTACAGCTGTGATGGCTCAGCAGTGTTCTTTGCCCCTCTACATTCTCCTCCAGGAGCTTATCCAAAGCCCACCTCAAATGTACTGTATGTAGCCTGTGGATGACTCATCCTCCGGAGAATGAGCTGTATGGTGCAGGTAGCCTTGCAAATAAACATTTCACCATTTGCAGAGTCTACTGAAGTACTTTGCTGACTTATAGTCTGAACCCACAGACTGCAAATACAAAGTCTGACAAACCAATTCTGTTTTTATTCAGTCAGTAAATTCGGTCGGTGTTAAAGATCCTCCTGTGTTAACATGTCCCTTCTGTGTTACACATGGAATTCCTGTGTCACTAAAACTCACAGCAATGAGGCATCACTTAGTGCTCCAGAATCTTTAGTCATTTTGTTTATTGAAACTGAATATTTGTCATCATTGCAGCAATTGCCATGGAGACAGGGTTAAGTCCCAAACCTACTGGTATTTTACAGTGCATGAGTGTATGCTCATTACCCTTTACCACAACTTCCAGGAAACACTGCACACTGAGTGGATCGGTGACTCCCGCTCTTTAACAGGGTTCGGGAATATGCAGACATTTAAATGATATTTGTTTCTCGGCAGCCTTTCACACCTTTTCCCTCAAACGGCCCGTATTTCCTCTCTTCCTTTTGCAGCATCCTGTTGTTATGTTGTCTTTGCTTGTGCTGTTTTATCGAGAAGTCACTAATGGCAATAATGGGTGCAATATCCATCCAATTACGATGTAGCTGAAGTGATATGTCTAAATTAATTAGATTTTAAATTAGAATGTATTAATCCCTGGACCTGGAAATGTACCCCAGGGCTGCAAATAGTAGAAATTGTACCTCTGATACCCAGAATGAACACATTAGAGGTAATTGGGTGAGTGAAGGAGTGTTTTCTAACATTTTTCAGCTTGTGAATTATTCAAACAAAGCTATGGCCGCCTCCGTTATGTATGTTTAGTTGCGTTCCTTCCCTGTTAGCAAATCTTTTGACCCCCTCTGGTTTATCTGGTGACCCCTTTGACCCCCAGGTTGTTTAAACTGAAGGCCTTTCTGTGAGGCAGCAATGTGAAACACAAGGAAACAATGCTGCCCACTAAGTAAAAATGTAAATCTCTCACTCAGGGCGGTGTGGGCGACTGCCTGCCTGTGCGCTGGGGTGTGGCAAAG